TTAGCCCTCATGGCCCTATAAAATTCCCACTTTTCACTGTTAATAGCTGAGTGGGGGCGGGGGGGAAATATATATATATATATATATATATATATATGCGGTCAACACAAGTACACGCAATAATTGCCAGATTGTGAAAGTATATGGGAGGGATGATGGTGTATGGGGCATGCTGGCAGTTTGGAATGTGGTTTTCACTGATTTGGAGAAGGGGCCTCAAAGAGGAGAGTGGGTCTGAAGTTGTGATTTAGATGAAGAGAAACTTGTCAGGTAAGCTTGAACAATAGTTAAACAAAACTTGGGGAGGTGAGAGAGAAAATAGGCGCAAGAGAGCACATGGTGCGCTGCCTGTTGGCTGTAGTCTTGCAGGAAGTGAGAGCAGTGTGGCAGCGCTGGCTTCCCTAAAGGGATGGAAAAATCCAGTTGAACTTGTTCTCCTTTGCCCTTAGGACATGACCTGGGACATCAAATATAAGACCGTCCGCTGGAGCTTTGTGGAATCTTTAGAGCCCTCCCATGTTGTTCAAGTTCGCTGTTCAAGTATGGTGAACCAGAGCAACATGTACGGCCAGGTCACCGTGCGCATGCACACCCGCCAGGTAGAGTCTTTTCCCAGCTTTTCTCACTCTCGGCTTGGGCACCTCCCTCTAGAGTGCTGGGTATCATTGCCCAGGACTGTAGACACTAACAAAAGGTACACTGTGGTCTGTCTTCCTTGCTGTGCCACTGTCCCCTCCCCACTGTTACATGTTGGCTCTACTAAGACGTGTGAAGATATTCTCTCCCGCCTTCCTGGTGTTTTTTTTAATTTCCTTTTCTATTTTTTGGCATCAGAGAGAATGACATTTTTTTTTTTTTTTTTTCTAAGACATGGTCTCATTCTGTCACCCAGGCTGGAGTGCAGTGATGCGATTGTGGCTCACTGCAGCCTTAACCTCCTGGGCTCAAGCAATCCTCCCACTTCAGCCTCCCAGGTAGTTGGGACTTCAGAGACACACTACCATGCCTGGCTAATTTTTGAATTTTGTAGAGATAGGGTCTTGCCATGTTGCCCAAGCTGGTCTCAGACTCCTGGGCTCAAGTGATCCGCCCACCTTGGCCTCCCAAAGTGCTGGGACTATAGGCATGAGCCATCATGCCCGGCTCCTTCTTGGTCTTAACTCCCCCCTCTCTTTGCCCCCTGTCAAAGAACTTGTAAGAGTAAAGTGTCAGTAGTTGATTAGATAGGCCTAGATTCAGAATTCTGAGATAATTTTTTTCTGCCCATTAAGATTTTTTTTCTGGTTGGGCACACTAACTTATGCCTGTAATCCCAGCACTTTGGGAGACCATGGTGGGCAGATCACTTAAGGTCAGGAGTTCAAGACCAGCCTGGCCAACATGTCGAAACCCTGTCTATACTAAAAATACAAAAATTAGCCCGGCATGATGACGTGTACCTGTAGTACCAGCTACTGAGGAGGCTAAAGCAGGAGAATCGTGAACCTGGGAGATGGAGGTTGCAGTGAGATGATATCACACCACTGCCCTCCAGTCTGGGCAACAGAGCAAGACTCTGTCTCAAAAAAAAAAAGAAAAAGAAAAAGATTTTTCTTATGGTTGTTTCAAAAATGGTTGTGTGGCAGGCTGGGCCTCGTGGCTCACTCCTGTAATCACAGCACTTTGGGAGGCCAAGGTAGGTGGATCACCTGAGGTTAGGAGTTCAAGACAGGCCTGGCCAATATGGTGAAACCCCATCTCTACTAAAAATACTAAAAAAAAATCAGCTGGGCGTGGTGGCACGTGCCTGTAATCCCAGCTCCCAGCTCCTTGGGAGGCTGAAGCAAAAGAATCGCTTGAACCCAGGAGGCGGAGGTTGCAGTGAGCTGAGATCGAGCCACTGCACTCCAGCCAGGGCAACAGAGTGGGACTCTGTCTCAAAATAAAAGGTGTGTGGCAATAAAATGAACAACTCACACACCGAAAAACCTAAGAGGCCAGCTTTGCTTTCATCCTCGTAGACTCTGGCCATCTATGACCGGTTTGGCCGGTTGATGTATGGACAGGAAGATGTACCCAAGGATGTCCTGGAGTATGTTGTATTTGAAAAGCAGTTGGTAAACCCCTATGGAAGCTGGAGAATGCATGGCAAGATCGTTCCCTCATGGGCACCCCCTAAGCAGCCCATCATTAAGGTAAGGTGGCTTGAGTCCTTTAAGAGAGCTGAGGCCGTACTCATGGTCTCCTAAGCCACTCTGTTGGGTTCCACCTAGTGGTGAGAGGGGGTGATGTACCACCGGGAAAGGGAAGGCTTGGTGGGTAGGTGGGTGGGTAGGAGGAGGGATGAAGTTCTTCTGGGTTAGCCATGGACTTGTTTGGTGGGCAACTTGGCATCCTGCTCTTTCAGACGGTGATGATCCCTGGCCCTCAGCTGAAACCAGAAGAAGAATATGAAGAGGCACAAGGAGAGGCCCAGAAGCCTCAGCTAGCCTGATGGCAAAATGACTTCCGGAGTAAAGCCTGGGTAATGAGGTTGCTGGAATCTTTGAAGTCTTCCATCCCTATCATGCAATAGAAAGAACTACCTTTGTTCTCTCCCATCCTGCTCAGGTCTTTTCAGCAGTCTCCTCAACAACCATGCTGATGGCTGGGCCCTAGTAGGTGGCAGGTATAACAGGGCCACGGACCTGGCCCTGTTATACCTGTTTAAATTGTATGTCTAGCTTCTGAGTCTAGATGAAAGACAGCATGTTTCAGAGAACATTGGATACCAGTTTTTCCCACAGCAGGGACTTTGAGAGAGAGAACCAGCAGCATCCTCTTTGTAATCACAGGGCAGGGATCAGAGTTTGAAATAAAACACTGTCAGAGTGTTGGAAAAATTTTGGTGAGTTCTGTACATTTTCCCTGGTTTAGGCTGCGAGTAGACCAGCCTTCAAATGGCAGAAGTGGAAGATGAGCCTACTTGTGAGTGATGGGATTTTAAGGAAATCCATACTTGGAAGGAATAATTCGTGTTTATAAGATATTTAAGAGGGCCTTTTTCGTATACTGACTCACTGATGAATCAGCATTTAAGTTTTATGGAAAAATATAAAGAAATAATTTATCCCTCAGCCTTTGATTGTGTTCTTAATTATTAACTGTATCAGTAAGCATCAGGGGAGGCAGGGGCCATGGATAGGTTGTTACATTTGGAAAATTAATCTGCAGTACTTGGTACCCTGATTTCTAACACCACTTGGAGATGGGGACTCTTCTTTCCCACCCAGTATCAAAGGTGAATGTACAAGAGTATGAACCTGTGTAGAGGAAAATAGGCCAGCCCTGCCTTGTTTCTTAGCTCCAGATGGGCTATTAGAAGGGTGTGGGACCTCACGTGGCCATGTGTCCTGGGTCATCTGAACGTGACAAGAGAAATAACTTTGTTTTGTTTTTTAGAGACGGAGTCTTGCTCTGTTGCCCAGGCTGGAGTACGGTGGCACAATCTCAGCTCACTGCAACCTTTGCTTCCCAGGTTCAAGCTATTATCTTGCCTCAGCTTCCCAATTAGCTGGGACTACAGGCATACGTCACCACGCCTGGCTAATTTTTTTTTTTTTTTTTTTTTTTTAGTAGAGATGGGGTTTCACTATGTGTTGGCCTGGCTGGCCTCGAACTCCTGACCTTAGGTGATCTGCCCAGCTTGGCCTCCCAAAGTGCTGGGATTACAGGCGTGAGCCACTGCGCCCAGCCATTCTTCTCTTTCTCAAGCTTAGAATTTTCTTTGAAGCAGTCTGTTACTTGAAGTAAAGATTAATCTGTACTGACCTTGTCCTGAGAGTAGAGTCCAAAGAACCTGGAATCTGGTCAAGGATAAATAACCTAACTCTCCAGTCTCTATAAAGCTACTATCAGCAAAGTAGCAAACCGGGCTTCACTAGGGAAGATTGATGTTTTTACAGCAACTGGTAAGTGGTTTTTTGTTTGTTTGTTTTTGAGATGGAGTTTCACTGTTGTTGCCCAGGATGGAGTGCAATGCTGCGATCTCTGCTCACTGCAGCCTCCACCTCCCAGGTTCAAGAGGTTCTATTTTCCTACCTCAGCCTCCCAAGCAGCTGGGATTACAGGCATGCACCACCACACTGGCTAATTTTGTATTTTTAGTAGAGACGGGGTTTCACCATGTTGGCCAGGCTGGTCATGAACTCCTGACCTCAGGTGATCCACCTGCCTCGGCCTCCCAAAGTGCTGGGATTACAGGCGCAAGCCACCACTCCTGGCCTGTTAAGTGTTAACTATGGAAATAAAGATATATATGCTTAGGGAAGAGGCAGCCCTGGTGTCTCTGGTCAACCACTCCCATGCTACTTAGTTCCAACCCTTTTGGCTTAAAGCGTGTATTAGTTTGCAGCATTACTGCCTGAGTGAGGTTTGGCCACATCCTATTTGCCTGAGCCCTGGCTTAAGGCAAAACGAGAAGGGAAGTGCTTTGAGCAGGACCCACATCCAGGGAGTATGGAGGAAGGGGAAATAATCCTCACAGGGTAGGGAAGCAAAGAAACAAAAAAACACACACTTAGTAGGCAAACGATACATTGATTCCTTTGAATATGTAAAAACAGTGCTTCAAATAAGCTGTTTCATCCCACTCCCCTGGATATCTCAGGGTTCTCTAGATAATCCTAAATAGCAGCTAAGCAGTAGCTGCCACCAGAGAGCCAGTGGATGAATGCCATTTCCATTTCCCCTTGGGACTAAATCCAGCTGAGCAAATGGGCCCCAGATGTGAGGGGCTGGCTAGAAGGACCAGGCACAGACCATCTGCAGTGTCAGCACTGACCTGGGCACTGGCAGAGCATTAGCCAGATAACCCAAAGTCCCAGACTGTAGTGTTAACTACCTTCAGCTTTGGAACAGGCATTGTTCTTTCCTTATCTGTCTTCTGTTACTGTTCAGAAATGTTAAAAAAAAAAAAAGATAATAATCATTATGAGTAAGCTAGAACCAACTGCAGTGTCAAGAAAAAGCGTTCTTTATTTCCACCCCCCCCCCCGACATGGTTTATTTCACAAGAGTGGGTTTGGTGGCAACTTTGCTGTTTCCGGCTAGACCAGACTCAATGGAATTGTTTTGGGGTGCACAGCAAAATCCCCATTAGCTCAGAAGCTGTAAGGCTAACTAGCCAGAGCCCAGGACAACACCACACTTAAGTTACTGCTCTAAAAGCCCAGGATAAGGTCCCTAGGTAAGGGAATGAGGACATTTGGTCCCCAAAAGAGAGTGGGTTACTCCATTCCTCTGTTCCCTTTTGGAAGTGGAGTACTTTATTACTTTCTCTGTGAAGTCCCATAACCACCCAGCATATTAACATGCAGACTAGATGTTGCATCTCTTTTTTTCCCTTTGAGTATTTGGTCTCCCTGTTTCGTCTTTTTCTCCCCATGAATGACATCAACGTCTATACTGTTAGAGGATGTGATTTACTGCCATCTTAGTGCCCCTGTCAAGCTCTACCATCTCTAGCTGCCACCTTCCCCCTCCCCCACCTCCGTTTGCCAATCTTGGGACTTCTTTGTATGTTTTCTCCTTCCTCATTTCCCTCTGGTATTATCATCTAATCCCAGCACTTTGTAATCTAGTACTGCTTAAGCAAGGGTAGCTGAACTGTTGAGAGAAGGAAGCTGAGCCAAGAGAGAGCTCCCTAAGAAAGAAGGCTTTGTCTTCACACAGTGCCCTTTCCCCGGCCCTCAGGCTTCTAACTTGCCCCACTGCACTCCTCTTTCAGAGGGCAGAAGTGGAGTTCTGGCTGTATACAGGACTGCCTTTCTCAAGCTCCTCTGAAAGGAGATTGATGTGTCCTCTTGCTACTGAGCAAGTGATTTGGGTGGGAGGGGGATTCTTGCATCAGAATCAGAGATTCCTCTTGACTCCAGTTGCATTGACAAAAGAGAGGGATCCTGTTGATGGCAGTGCTGAAAAGCTAGGGGGAGGCAAATGAGCCAGTGAGGTGAGCTCTGGAGACTGGTGAGAGCTGGGGCAGGAAGAGGGGGAGACCCCCTAAAAAACTAGCAGGAGGCACACAAGGATGTCTGGAAGGAAGAGCTCCTTTGACTGTGGGGAGGACCTGGGGAAATTGCTTTCTTCTGTGTTCTCTGTCTCTGAAGCGGCTTTGGATGCCAGGTGCTGAAATGGATGTTAGTGTGCCTGGTTGTTTCTGCTTCAGCAGTCAAGCAGGGCAGGTATGAGAAGCAATAAAGCAGAAACAGGAGATTCAAAGTCAAAATGACAAGGTCCTTAAGGCATTTCAGGCGCCTATTTTGAGTCATTTTAGCTTTTCCTCCAATTTATCTTCAATTAAATGGCTCCTCAGCTTCCTATGGTGGACTCTATAGCCTTCTGTGGTCCACTGTCCCTATGTTGTCAACGCCTTGTATTGTTTAGTTTCTTCTTAAAAAAAATGCTCCATCGTAGACTTCAGAGAATTCAGGGTCTCCCCATGAGAGAAGGTAGGCTGGCCACAGCTGACTTCCTTTCATCCCTGACACTGGCTTTGCGGTAAGTGTCCAGACTTGGGTGGTTTGTGTTGTGAGTACCGTAGATGAATGGGAGGAGTCCTTAGAAGCAGTGTCCAATCTTTGTTTCCTCCAACAGGAAGAAAAATTAGAAATAAAGACCGGGTGGGCCTTCCCATTGGTGTCCAAACTGTATCCTTTTCATACAGTTCGTCTTTGGGATGAGTTGACTTCTGGTCTCAAGGAGGGGAAGTGACCAAGCTGTCTTTGGTTCAGCTCTTTGGGAACCCTTGGGCTTGGGAAGGGCCTTGGCTCCTGAAAGCTAGCTCTGTGTTTGACCTCACCTAAGAAGGCTGTTACTCCCAGTCCCAAGGATAGACCGTTGGAGGGGTGAATTCTTCACACTGAGCTTCCAAAACCATTTGGCCTGGGTCTTCAGTTAAGGAGGAAGACTGAGACTCGGCTTCATGGAGACTTGGCTCTGGGGCTAAGCTGGTCCTTGACTCAAGCCCTGAAGAGCCTTGTAGTTCTCTGACACCTTCTAGAGTGGAAGTACTGGCTGGCCTGCTTACCTTGGGGCAAAGGATTTTGCTTACCGGAAGGAAGTGGTCCAGAGGCCCATGGACTAAAAGGCATAGTGGTTTTTCAGGAGCTGTGGGGAAAAATTCTGTTTGAGTTGCTGTTAAAGCCAGGAGGCCAGATTCCTCAGTTGGGACTCCAGTTTCCTCCCCAGGACAGATGTCTGCCATGGTGCCCTTTATTTTATTTCCTTCTGGATCTGTGATTTCCCATTGGCATAGCTCTGCCATCCTGCTCCCCATGCTGCCTGCTCCCTGGGGGCTGACTTTGAGTTGGTCGGGGTTCAGAGCACCTGACTGGAGCAAGAGCCCCCCTGAGCCTGTGCCTTCCCGAGGGCAGACTGCCTCCTGTTCTCTGGGCTTTCCTGCTGCTTTTGAGAAGTGTTCTTCAGTCCCTCCAGGACCTGCCTTCTGAAGGAACATCTCTCCTTGCCGTTGTGATTCTCGTTCCACCTCCTGTTCCAGTCCCCCTTCCTCTGCTGCTCCTCCACCTGCCTCCCAAGGGCAGATCTCTGCTTCCTTGGCGGAGGGAGCCTCTTCCACTTCCCACGGACACACTTCCGCCACGCTGGTCTCCACACTGCCTGCTGCCTCAGAACTGCTGCTGTCAGAAGCATCTGGGGCTGGCTGTAGGGACCGTCCCCTGCCATCTTGACTCTCCCAGGGACACACAGCCTCCTCCTGCCTGAAGTCTGCCATCTCTGACTTTTTCTGAACTGGCACACCTTTGGGTTCTGAATTTTCTGGGGCTCTGCCTTTCTCTTCTTGAGAGTCCCCTTTTCCATCCTGTCTTGACACCTCTTTGACAGGGATTCTTTCAGTCACTTCCCAGGGACAGGTCTCGGCCTTGGCACTGCTGTCAAGTTTATACACGCTTGCATCAGGAACATCCCATGGGCACACGTCAACGGCTCTGCCCCCCGTGCTGACCAGTCTCTGGGAGCTGGCTTTAGGTTGGTCAGGGCACTGTCTGTCTGGGTTGGAAAAGGAACCTGCTGGGGCACTGCTCTCCCGTGGACAGACAGATTGTAGCTCATTGCTTGTTTTTTCCCCATCTTCAGGAGTGGATTTTTCTGTGTTTGAAGCTGGAGCTTTTTCTTGGGTTATATGTTCTGAGAAGGAGCCTGTCTTTGCGTCTTGTGTCAGGTCCCCCTTCTCTGTTGCTTCCAAGGAATGTCCCTCTGCCACTTCACTACGCATGCTGGTGGGCAAGTCTGAGATCTTGGGGGCCCAAGCAGGGGATTCCCTCAAGTCCTGGTTCTCCCAAAGACAAATAGCTTCCTGTTCTTGACACAGTTTTGTCATCCCTTTTGATAGGTCTTCTCCCAGGGAAGTAAGTCCCCCCTTTTCTAGAGCTTTCTCCCTCTGCTCTGCTGATTCACTCCCTGTCTCTTCGTCCAATCCTTTCCCAATAGTCCCTTCATTCCGCTCCCAGGGACAGATCTCGGCTTTTTCACTGGTAGCAGCTTCCTGCGCTTCCCAGGGACACACCTCAGCAGGCCTGCACCCCACATGGTCCAGTTCCTCGAACTCAGCTTTTGGTCCATCAGCATCCAGAGTATCTGAATGCTGAGAGGAGGCCCCTGGACCCACCCTCCCCCAGGGACAAGCAACCTCCCACTCTGGGGTTGGCTTCTGTGGCTTCTCTGGAGCAGTAACAGCTATCTCCCTGGGGGGAAGAACTGCAGAAGCCTTTACTGTATCATTTGGGGATTTCCTAATGTCCTTGACTCCCACAGCGCTTTCCTCCCCTGCTCCAGCACCCACCTCCCAGGGACAGATTTCTGCCTTCCCAGCAGTCAGGATTTCCTCCACATCCAAAGGGCAAATGTTGGCAGCGCTGCTTCCCATGCTGCCTGACATCTGGAGAAGGGTTTGGGGTCTCTCTGTGTCTTGAGGACGTGGTTGTGGTGAGAAGCTGCCAAGGTTCGTACTCTCCCACGGACAGACTGCTTCCTGCTTTTGGATCTGCCCTGCAGGCTTTTCCCAAGCTGTGACATCTTGTATTTCTGATTTTCCAGGCATTTTCTCCTTGTCCTTTTGAGATTCTCCTCCTCTTGGTGCTTGTGCTGATGTCCATTCCTCTCTTGTTCTTTCATTTACCTCCCAGGGACAGATTTCTGCCTTGGCAGGTGTTGCTTCCTGTGCCTCCGGCCTGAGATCTTCCTGTGGACACACCTGTGTTGCTCTGCTTCCTCCATTGCATAGGAACTGGCCACCGGCTTTGGATGAGGAATTGTCTAGACATGGGCTGGAGTGCCCAAGGACTGTCCTCTCCCAGGGACACACCGACTCCTGCTGTTGACTTAATTTCTGCCCTGCTTTCACAGTTTGTTCCCCCATCTCTCCAAAGCTTCCTCTTCTGGAGGCTTTTTCCTTTTCTTGGAGAGATTCTCCACCTGTTCCCAGATTCAGTGTTTCCTGCCCCATCACCTTATCAGCCAGCTCCCAGGGACAGATCTCTGCTTTCCCGACAGCAGGAGCATCTCCTGCCTCCCAGGAACACACTTCAGCAATGCCACTGCCCAGACTCCCTGAACACTGTGAGCTTCCTGGGGTCTGAATTGAGACTGCTGAGGGGCCCCGGAAATCTGTACTCTCCCATGGACAAAGAGACTCCAAGTCTCCACCCAGTTTCTGTTCTCTCCAAAAGGTTGCTTTCCTGGTTTTCTGCTTTTCCTGAGAGAGATCCTTTACTACCTCTTGGGCTGGTTGCCCGCCCTCACCTCTTTCACTTGCCTCCCAGGGACACAGCTCCGCCCTGGCGATGTCAGGTGTATGAGTGTCTGGGCCAGCAGCTTCCCCCGCAGGCTTCTCCACCTTCCTGGCCTCCACACTGCCCCCTGCCTCAGATCTGTCTCTGATTCTGCCAGCGTCCTGAGGAGCTGACCCAGGGAACAGACCTCCATGATCGGCACTCTCCCAGGGACACACAGCTTCCTGCTCCCTCACCAGCCTCTCTGGTCTTTTCCTCATCATGGCAGCCACATCGGTGGGCTCTGATTTTCCTGGGGCCCCCACCCCCTTTTCTTGGGAGTCACCTGGGTCTTGTCTTAGTGCCTTCAACTCAGGGGCTCCTTCACTCATCTCCCAGGGGCAGATTTCGGCCTTGCTACCACAGTCCGGCTGACGCGTTTCTAATTCAGTGATCTCCCAGGGGCATACCTCTGCCACCCTGTGGTCAGCACTACCCAGGGGCTGGAGGCCAGCTTTGGGCAGTTCCTGCACCCTCACAGGGGCTTCTTTTGATTGCTCGACATTTTTGTCCCTAGAAACTTGCCTCAGTGTGGCAAGCCCTGTTTTACCTGCTGTCTCAGCTTTCCGCTCCCCTAGACCCTGGGGCGTCCTTCTGTCTCTGTCCTCTTGTTCCCTGCTGCCCTCCCGTTGACAGACTTGGAGCATCCTGCTGGTGTGAGCGTTCTGTTGGTTCTGGAGGGACTCCTCGTCATCGCAGGGGGCAAGAGCAGCCTGCTTACTCACCGCCTTGGGCCGGCCTAGCCTGGGCGATCGGGAGGGTGCCCCCACACTGTCTCCCACAGCCCTGCCGTTCTGCCCCTCAGGACTCTCCTCCACACTCCCCTTCTCTCTGTAGGTGCTCCGGGAGCGGGTCAGAGCTCTGATCGCCAGCCCCAGGCTGTGCATGGAACCCTGCTGAACAGGGGCCTTGAGACTGTGGGATTTTGGGAAGATCTTGGACCGGTCTTCGCCCACGTCGTTAGCTTCCTTCTGGAGGTGCGCGTCCTCAGTGTCCATCTTATTCTCCCCAGCCCTGCTTTTCTCTACTGCAACAGAGAGGGCCCTCCAGAGCCTGGCCCGAGCGGGGGCAGGGGAAGGGTGGCCACGCTCTGGCCCTGAGGGTCCTTCCTGGGCCACATTTTCTTTCTTGACTGGCAGTTCTGTGTTCTCCCAGGGGCAGATGTAGGTGAGTAAGTTGGGGCTTTGGGGGGCTACTGGGACTGGTGCCAGGGTGGGGGCTGGGGTTGGAGCTAGAGCTGGCAGCAGGGCTGGAGCCAAGGTGGAGGTGGGAGAGAGCATCCTTGGCTCTCCCAGGCAGGCCCCAGACAGGGCCAAGATGGGAGTGGAGACCTGGTGCCGGATGGGTGGGTGAGGCAGCCTCCTCCCAGCCTCCTCGTGAAGCCTCCCAGAGGCATGAGAGCTGTCCATGCTGCTGCTCTTGGCAGGGGAAGGTGGAGCTGACAGAGGGGGCCGTCGAGGCTGCTCCAGCCTCCGGGCCGATGGCCTCCGCACCAGGCTGGCCATGGCTGCCTCGGCCTTCTTCCGCTCCTCCCGCTCCTTTGCTTGCCGGTAGGTCTCCTCCAGGTAGGCCTGGCTGGCCATGAGCAAGGCCTTTTCCCTGGAGCCGGCCACACTGAGCGACTTCTGCAGAGGGGCGGGCCGGGCTCTGGGGAGCCTCTCTCCCACTGTCAGGTTGTGGGCGCTGGCCGACCTGAAGCCCAGGGCAGGGGGCCCGTCCGCCGACTCCCGGCTCTCTGTCCGAGAGGCCTTCTTGGCCAGCTTCCTCCTCAGCAGTGAGTCCAGAAGAGGCGGGTCCTGCTCCCTGCGCTGGTCGTAGGTGCTGCGGGACTTGCGAGCCGGTGTCCCCTCGGGTTCCTGGAGGCTGGAGCTGAGGAGCCGGCGGCGGGAGGAGCCAGGCAGGCTGCCGCGGCCCGGGGAGCCCGAGTCCCGGGAGTGCCGCCTGGCCAGGGCCTCGGGGAATTCCGCCAGGTACCTGATGAAGGAGCGGCCCAGCCCCTGGCGTGAGCTGCCCCGCTTCTTGGGCAGGTGGGGGTTGTTCGCAGCCATTTCCTTGGTCTTGTGGACCTCCAGCTGGGCATAGAGCTTCTTTAGCTCGTTCTGTGGGGCGACAGGAAGGAAAGCAGGGCTGCAGGTGAGCTCCCTCCATTCCCTGGCTGGCTGGCCCTCCGCCCTTGCGTAGACCATTTTCCCTGGGGGATCTCTTTCCATCAAGCTGTATCTCTTCCCTGCTTCTAAAACTCTCAGAATTCACCTCTTTGTTCACCTGTGAGATCAGTTGCCGACCTGAGTCCCAGCCAGATGCAGTCAGCTCAGAGGACTCAGGTGTACTACCTTCTCTGGGCATTGTGGTCGGGTGGGAAGTCAGTAGCTTGGGGGACACTCAATGTGCTGTGTGCCCGGAGGCTGTTTTCATGACCCCTCTGAGCCTCTGCATTTCCTGTAAAGCAGTGTTACCTGGGTGACCAGTGTTACCTTCCTTAAGAGCATTATATGAGATTGAGACTAGTGGGTGTGAAATGTGGTGTTCAGGTGTAAATGATGGAACGGGGGCTTTAAAAGTCTTCTGATCTGGGTTTCTCCCAAGGCCAGACAGGGGCTGCAGACTGGCTTGTGTTCCAGAAAGTGGAGAGCTAGGGGTGGAGTTGCCCCTCCATACTCCCTGGCCCTTCAGCTGGATTGGGGTCTCAGGAGGCAGGACAGGCAGACCTCAGAGGGGTGAGGACACAAGGCGGAAATGGGCAGGGGCAGTTGGGATAAGGAAGGACTCGGGAGATGTAAGGACTCGCTTTGTGAGCCTGCAGACAAGTCAGGTGTGGAGGGAACCCCAGTAGAGGTGGAGGGGATGGAGAGAATGGCTTCCCATGATGGTTCCTAGAGCCTGGATTGTATAAAACAATGGGCTTAGACTCAGCTCTCTTTGTATGTTACCCACTGAGCCTCTTATTGGGGTTCTGGTGACTATAATGATATCCTTGAGGACAGAAACGAGAATAAACATGCTCTTCCAGTGTAGACCCAGGAAGAACTTCCTCTCTCTAAGACCTGCCAGGTCCAGGGAAATGGGGATCCTGGTGGCCACTGCCTAATCTACCCAACCCCACAGATGGTCCTAGGGTCACAAACCATCCTGCTTTGCTGGGGGCTAAGGTTTTTTTTTTTTTTTTTTTTTTTGGAGACAGAGTTGTGCTCTGTCACCCAGGCGGGAGTGCAGTGGCACGATCTCAGCTTACTGCAGCCTTGACTTACCAGGCTCCAGTGATCCTCCTCCCACCTCAGCCTCCTGAGTAGCTGGGACCACAGACACACACCACCACGTCCAGCTAATTGTGGTATTTTTAGTAGAGATGGGATTTCATCATGTTGGCCAGGCTGGTTTTAAACTCCTGGCCTCAAGTGATCCACCTGTCTCGGCCTCCCAAAGTGTTGGGGTTACAGTCATGAGCCACCATGCCCGGCCAGCTGAGGGGTTTCTTAGTCTGCCCCCACCTGATGCTCCTGCTGAGTGAGAGTGGAGGACACGAGGGAGTAGGTCTCCACTCTCGGCCCTGCCTGTAGCTTGCCACATGGCCTGGGCTTCTGGCATCTGGTTCTGGGGCTTTGGGGTTTTCCCACTTGGGTGTGTGTGGCCTCCTTTGAACAGAGTCAGGGGAATCAGTTTCAGGCAGTGGTGGAGAAGGGAGAGAGCAGGTCTTGGAGGGAAGAGGACTTGCAGTGGCACACAGCCCAGGTGGCAGGGCCCAGGGCTCCCTCTGCTCCATTCCTAAAAGCTAGCATTAAAAGGAGGCGGGGAGGGTGACACATACCCGAATGTCTCCAGGGTCCAGGCTGCGCTCACTCCAGGCTGAGGCGATGCTGCTGCCGAGGTAGGAGCCCGAGTGCTGCAGTTCCAGCTCATCCTCGTACACCTCATCCACCATCTCCTCCCGGGGAGGAGCCCCCAGCTTCCAGAACTGGCAGGGGCGCATGTGAGTGGGAGTAAGACTCACCCTGGTTCCCTGTCCACTCCTGCTCTCACCTGCCCTGGGGAATGTGTCTTTACTTGGTGACGCTTCACCCCTTCTCTGATTTGGAATTCTGGGGGTCTTTAGAGTTTGCTCCCGTCATCCTCCCTGACTCTAGCTCAGAGAGCGGGGTAGTTTCAAGTTCCCGACCCTGCAATTCCTAGCCTGGTCCTTCAGCTCCCCCATCTCTCCCTGTGTACCTGCTTCTGAGTAGATTATCAGAGTGTGCCAATCTTCCAGCTGCAGGAGAGAGCCTCTCCAGCTCTGGTTCTTCTTTCCCTTGCCCAGGAACTGGAAGCAGAGAGCATCCCCACCCAAGTGGACTCCTAGCTTAGGGCCCCTGGCACTCTGCTCACTCACCCAGCACTTTCTGTCGTCCTCACCCTGGCCTGCAGAGGGCGCTGCAGGACAGCAGATCCACAGCACCCCTGACAGAGGGGCTGGGGTCTGCCTCACGGGCAGGAGGGGAAGACCTCACCTTAGGGATGAAGATCAGAGCCAGTGTGGCCGTGACTGTGCTGTGGGTGTGGAAGAAGAAGAGGAGGAGGGTCCAGTCTGGGTGCAGGGAGGGAACCAGCACAAACCTGGGGGAGGGATGGGGGGAGGTCATAACTGCAGGCGGGAGTGGCCTCTGCTGCTTCACCTTCTCACTAGCATTTCACCCCAGCCCCAGCCCTGATCCCCTTAGGACAAGGAGGCATTCTGCCCTCTTCTGTCCTCTCCAGGATTTAGGTCCCACCTCAATCCCATTAATCCCCACCTCCAAGAGGCCTTCCCAGACTACTCCAGCTCACTGTCTTTGGCTGTGTATATATAGCACAGACGTGTGCTTCGGACTCTTAGGCCCACTCTGTGGGTTAACTCTGCCTCCACCCCGTCCTTACCGACACACAGCAGCCTGCTGCTCTTATGGCTGAGGAGTGAGGGCAGAAGGCAGGGAGGACTGAGCAAGCGTGGGAAGGGGTATGTTAAGTGCTGGAGGGGTTCTTTGGGAGGGGTAAGGAGTTAGGAGGAAGGTACTTGTCCTCCTCTTGTGTGTCGGGGGCCTCCTCACATGGGCCAGGCCTGGAGTACAGTACAGTAGGGACATCTGGGGGGTAGGGAGAAAGCTAGAAGTGGGGACCTTCCTCACCATGTTGAGACATAGCAGTGTCACCAGGAAGCATAGCAGTGTCACCAGGATGGCGTGGGATGGGAGAGGTGAGAAGTGGTGTTACGAGTGGAAGGGAGCCAGGCATGGTGGCTCACGCCTGTAATCCCAGCACTTTGGGAGGCCGAGGTGGGCAGATCACAAGGTCAGGAGTTCGAGACCAGCCTGACCACCATGGTGAAACCCCGTCTCTACTAAAAATACAAAAATTAGCCAGGCGTGGTGGCGAGTGCCTGTAGTCCCAACTACTGGGGAGGCTGAGGCAAGAGAATCGCTTGAAACTGTGAGGCAGAGGTTGCAGTGAGCCAAGATGGCCCCACAGCACTCCATCCTGGGCTACAGAGAGAGACTCCATCTCAAAATGTAAGAATGGAAGGGGCTGTGGTTGGTAGGTGGGTCGGTCCTCACCTGGCCGTGTGGAAGGCAGCGGAAAGCAGCAGCTCGTTGTGCAGGGCGATGCCCATGTAGCGTGGCTCGTGGAAGGTGGAGAGCACAGCCCGCGTGGCGTAGCACAGGAAGCTGCCCCAGCACAGCAGCAGCAGCTCAGCTGCAAGGAGGCGGGAGGGAGAGAGCCGGCACTGCCTCAGCACCGTGCCATCCCTTTCTCAGAAGGATATGCTAGGGGTAGCCTGGGCCAGGGGTCTGGGGACAAGGCAGGAGAACCAGAACAAGAGGACCCCAGGAGGCTGAGAGTCAGGGACGAGCGTGAGGCCGGGCTCAGCAGAAGCAGCTCACCCACAACCATGATGTAGTCCCAGCGGTCGTGGTGACAGAGGTAGAAATGGCGGCCAGTGGGAGTGTGGCCTCGGATCACCAGAGGTGCGTGCTGGATGCCTCGCTCCAGGGCGCCCACAGTCCACACAACCAGGAAGCCCAGCACAGGTAGCAGGAGCAGCCCCAGGCGCCGCAGCAGCCGCCCGCTGCTCAGAAGGGTGCTCCGCTGGGCCGTTCGAGACAGAAACAGCTGCAGCACTCTGCGAGGGTTAGAATACATAGGGTTGGCCTTGTGCAGTGGCTCACGCTTGTAATCCCAGCACTTTGGGAGGCTGAGGCGAGCGGATCACGAGGTCAGGAGTTCGAGACCAACCTGGCCAATACAGTCAAACCCTGTCTCTACTAAAAATACAAAAATTAGCTGGGTGTGGTGGCACGCCTGTAATCCCAGCTACTCGGGAGGCTGAGGCGGGAGAATCCTTGAACTGGGGAGGCAGAGGTTGCAGTGAGCAGAGATCACACCACTGTACTCCAGCCTGGGTGACAGAGCTAGGCTCCACCTCAAAAAAAAAGAAAAAAATGAATACACAGGGTAGATGGCAGGGACCTGGGAGGACCACGGAGAGGGAGCCAGTGCCCTGGCTTCTGTCCCTTGCTGCCCTCCCCTCCACACAGGTACTTGTCCTTCCATCCTTTTCATGGTTTGCTGCCTCTTGCTACCCGCCCAAAAGTTACATGGAGGAGAAGGCTGTGGTGATGGGGGTTGTACTTGGGGGCACAGGGGAGTGGGGCTGGCACGGGTCTGGCTTTGAAAAACGGCATTCCATGAGTGAGCTGGGGTGGTCTGGGATGAGCAGCATGAGAGCAAGGTCTGCCCAGGCCATACCTGTAAAGCTTGAGTATGACGGTGCCGTAGACGATTGCAAAACCCAGCAGCCGCACCCAGCGAAGGGCGATGCAGCGGAATACACTGGGCTTGAAGCACAGGATGAAGACCTGGTGGGAAGGGGCAAAAGTCTCTGCTCTCCACGGTGCTTCTGCTGCAGGCAAGGCCCATGCTAAGCTCATTGTGGATCCTCCCAACAACCCTGAAATAGAGGCATCACCACCTTCATTCTGCAGAGGAGCAGCTGAAGTGTCAAAGAGGCTAGGTAACTTGCCCTAAGTCACTCTGCAAGTCACAGAGCTCTTTTAAGCCTGGGGCTCCAGAACTCACAGACCAGCTTGCCATTTGTGGGTATGAGTAGGGGAAATCTGAGGTCTCTGAATCCCCTCCAGAGGGCAGAGAATAGGAAGGGTTCTGGGGCTATAGGGGATGCTGGAAGGTAGGGCCAGCCTCTGGCCACAGACTCACAGGAAAGTAAAGCAGCAGGAATCCAAAAAGGATGGTTTCCAGCAGGACCACTCCAGATGCCCAGATCCTCTGTGAAGCAAGGAGAGAGGCATGTCAGCAGAGCCTGGACGATGGTGCCGGAGGCTCTCGGGCCCTGAGCTAAGGCTTCACCCTGTAACACTGGCTCTGCCCTCTCTGCCCACAGTCACACCCCCACTGTCACCACAGGCTCAGCTCCGCTGGCACTAAACCTGGCTAAGGCCGAGGTTTCACATCATTCCCACACATCCCTGTGTTCTCCCCTTCCCGCTCAGGGCCTTGCTGCAGACCTCGGCTCAAATAGAGGCTGCTGAAGCTGGAAGGGATCTCATGCGTTCCTCAAGCACTGGGTCAGGCTGCTCCCTTGCCTAGAATCAGGTACCCCTTCTGGGCCCAGTAAGTGTCCAGTTAACCTTCAAGCTTGGCTCATGTCACATCCAGAATGTCTTTCCCATGCCATCTCAGGCAGGATGACTTTCTGTGAGCTCCCACAGCAATGGATAGACACCTCCATCTTTGCCCATCTCACTGTACTGTCATTTTCTTTACATGTCTGCTTTCTCCATTAAACTGGGAGCTCTGTGCGGGCCCAGATCACTTCCTCTTGAGCCTAGGCAGTGTTTTGCTTAGAGTAGATATTCAACTAGTGTTTATGAATCAAGTTCAATGCCCTTATTTTACAGATGAGGAAGCAAGTCCAAGGTGGAGAAATCACTTGCATAATGCTGCATAGTGAGTTGGATTTAGAATCAAGATTAGAACGTATTTCTTCTAAATTCTGGTCTTAGGTAGTCTCAGGTCTCCAGTTGAGATGGGTTGGACCCATGTGCATGAGGTGTGGGGCCTTCCTTGCCTTGTTCCGGCGGCAGCGGTAGGAGACCAGCATGCTCAGGAAGATGGCCAGCATACAGCAGGCCTGGCAGGCCAGCACAGTGGCCCGCAGCGCCACGGCCTCTTCCACCAGGCACGGTGTGGCATCCATGCAGCTGCTGCAGCCCTCAGGACATGGCAGGCACCGCAGCAGTCTCCCAGATCTGCCTTCGGGGGACCCGAATTGCCCGGTACTCTGGAAGGCACTGTCCTCTAACCCTATAAAGAACAAGATTGGTGCAGGGAGAGCGGCCCAGCTAGAGCATCCTGACATCCCAGCCTGTTCTCCTGATAGTTACCACAGCCCTCTCCCTGCTCTCCTGTGATCTAGGGCTCCAGGGACAAGTGGGAATGGGTGCTTCCTTGGGAGGGCAGGGTACCAGGAAGAGGTGACACCAAGCTAGGGCTCCTTGAGAGGCCAACTTGCATCACATCTGTATGTTATGGGCTCATACTCAGAAGGTGCAGACACCCCCACACTGCACCCTGCTTGCCTCTCCTGCTTTCTCTCAACCTTCTGCTCTTGCCCCACAAGTTCCCTCCCAGGGTCTCATCCCCACCTGCCTTTCTTCTGTACCCTCCCGTCCAGCCTCTCCTGTAAAACGCATGCCCAGCCCTAATCACACTTACATACCCCCAGAGGGGCTTGCTCCGTAGAACCCAGGTCGGCATCGGCAGAGGTAGCGGCCAAGAACAAAGCCCTGACTCTCCAGGGGGACACACTGTGGGGACGACAAACACAATATGTGTTTATGTGGGGCTTTCTCTAGAAGAATATTCCCTCCTGGGAGAGATGGAGGGTTCATCTACCTCCCTATCCATGGGACTGGGGTCCACATTAGGGAATCCCTCAGGAAGCTCTCTCTAGTCCTTGCGAAGTTTTCCCTCTGTGGAAAATGTACCCTACCCTACCTCTGCTGTTGCCTCTCTTCCCAAAGAGATCCACAGCAAAGAGCATGGGGAGAAATCACCCCTTTCTTCAGACTGGCAGAGACAGGAACCTCATAGGACCCATTTCCCAGTGTCCAGCTCTTGCTAGGGCAAGATACTGGGGGAAGTGGAAGCAGGGAGAGCTCTGAGCCCAGCCACACCTTGTGTGCCTACATTCTGCTTCAAAGGGTCCCCACCAGCTTCCCTCCTTGGCACACAAATGGACTGGAAAGGCCCCCATGGAGGAGCAGCTTCTTTCATCAGGGGCCATCTGGCTTTGGCACAGGGCTGTTTTTCCCAGCCTTAATGCCAGGCTAATGCCAGGCTGGTGGGATGCCAAGGCCAGCCTTTATTCCACCTCCTCCCATTAATGTTTGCCCAGCAGGGGCCAGAGTAGACCTCAGAGCCAGGCAGGGAATATGAGCAAATGAGGTCAGATCTATTGTGGGGAATGGCTGGGAACAGACATCAGTGGCGCAAAGGAAGGGGTTAACCTTAGAAGAGTCTATATCCAGCCCCTGACCTCACCTAGAAGGGTTAGTGTGTGGTGCTTGTGAAGCTGTGGCCCAACTTCCCCTCTTTTCTGGACCACTGGACTGCACTCTGTTCCTGCCACAGTCTGCACAATTAAACAAACATGCACCCAGAGAAGTGAATGTGTCTGGGTTAAACAGTGAACTGGATGGTGGGAGTCCTTTTCTATCCCTCCACCTCTAGCTGCAGACACGTGTGCCCTGAAGAGCAGTAGGACCACCTGTGCACACAGAACAATATGCCCGCCAGCCCTAGCAGGCCACAGGGCTTGCCCTGGCTTCAGTTCAGCTCAGGAACAAGTGTGCAGTCGTTGTAACCATGGAGCGGATGAGTTCACTGGCCTCCCAGTTTCCCAGTGCTGGACCTGCATGATTACCAGCCAGTGCTCTCCATCACTGTGAGTCGCCTGCACCCAGAGCTTTGAATCTACCTGCCTCTGGCCCAGGTCCCATAGCAGTCACTGGTCCCAGGCCTCTTTGAGCTCCTTTGTTGGTTAGATTCCTCCCACACCCCAACCAGCAATTCCATTTATTTCATCAAAATGGAATATCCTTATGTAGAGAGACCAATGGAGCACCCTTTGTGGGCCAAGAGGAGCCCAGAGCTGTGTTACATGGAGAGTGTGGTCCTGGGAAGGAAAGGAGATACATAACAGAGGCTCAGGGAGGAGCCCTGGGGAGGGATCCCGGAGCACTGAGTTGTAGTGCCCCCCCATCCTCCTCATCCTTACCTGAGTGCTGTTGAGGTCACACAGGTGTGTGCTGGAGTACCAGCCTGGGCCACTTGCGCACTGATTGATGTCCACACTCTGGAGATCTACGGCCATCTGCACCTGCCCCCTACGGCAGTGAATCGCCAGTTAGGGGCACAGTGATGGATGCCAAAGTGGACATGTGTCCACTTTGGGCACTGTTGGGGCCCAGAAAACGATACTCCAAATTATGGCACTTTGGCATGCTGAGGACTTTGAACTAAAGGAGATGAGAAGGGCTCAGAAGTAAGGTCTCTCTGACCTTCCCCTGCCCTCTTATATCCCACTCCTCCTTCTCCCTGCTGAAGTGAGTTCTAGACACCAGAATTCCCCTTCCCCAAGGCAGGTCATAGAAACTAGAATCTCCCTCCCCAGAGCAAGACATAAAACCAGGAAGTATTATTCTCATCTTCCCCTGCCTTTCCGTGTAGGGGCTGGTCATAAAGAAATTCTCTGGCCTGCCTTGACTGGTAGTAAGTAGGTCATATGACCCTCATTCCAGAGGGATCCTGCCCTCTACCTGGGAGGAAGGATGCTACACAGGCCGAGAGGAAGCTGGGCAGAGAGGGCCTGGCTGTGTTTCTGCACTTGGTCTGCCACCATTAGATCGTAGCCTCTTTTGTCCAGTCACATTTCTACAGGGCTGACCATTCTTCACTGAAGCAAGACACATGGTTTTGCTCTGTTGCCCAGGTTGGAGTGCAGTGCATGATCATAGCTCAAGTGATCCTCCCACCTCATGTGACCATAGGCATGTGCCACCATGCCTGGCTAGTTTTAAAAAATTATTTTTAGTGGAGACAAGGTCTGGTTATATCGCTCAGGCTGGTCTTGAACTTCTGGGCTCAAGCCACCCTCCCGCCTGGGCTCCCAAAGTGCTGGGATTATATGTGTAAGCCACTGAGCCTCTGCCACTAGGTCTTCATTTCTGAAGGCTCCTGTGTCATGTAAATCTTTGATTAAATAGGTGGGGTGCAGTGGATTATGCCTGTAATCCTAGCACTTTGGGAGGCCGAGGGGGGTAGATCACCTGAAGTCAGGAGTTCGAGAACAGCCTGGCCACATGGAGAAACCCTGTCTCTACTAAAAATACAAAAATTAGCCAGGTGTGGTGGCTGGCGTCTGTAATCTCAGCTACTCAGGAGGCTGAGGCAGGAGAATCGCTTGAACCCAGGAGGCAGAGGTTGCAATAAGCCGAGATTGTACTACTGCACTCCAGGCTGGGCTACAGAGTGAGACTCTGTCTCAGAAAACAAACAAACAAAAACTTTGATTAAATAAATTGGTTATGCCTTTTCTCTTGTTAATCTGTCTTTTGTTTTAGAGTGTTGTGACCCTTATGATGAGTGAGGAAAGGGATAGAGATCACACTTTTCTGCCCCTACAGTCACCGGATTTGGGGACAATGCAGTCTTTGCAAACTTTAGCCCAGCACCTGTGGTGTGTATGAAGAGCATGCATGCACTCCATTTCTCCAGTGTCATGCATGTTCACTGTCTCTGTGGACAACAGTCTCTTTCCTACTGGGCTGTTCTCTCCAGCCCTCGGCTTTTTGACATCCCATCGTTTCCTGGTTTCTATCAAGGAGTAAAGGGAGGGCGCATGTCAAGACATGGCAGGAGCCAGGGCCCTGATGATCCTCTGAAGGGGATTTTCACACTTCCTCATGTATGTACACACACACAGAGATCAGCTCAGCTGCTAACCAGTTGCTCTCTCCGCCCAAGCCAGGTCTGAATTGATCACAGGAAAGGAGATATGAAATGGAGGAGCCCTGACCTGGACCAGCAGCTCCTCAGCCTCTGCTCTGGGCTGAGCTGGCAAGAAGCCAGGCTGCCTGCTGGCAGGAGGGGAACCCTACTAGGAACAATGAATGGGGGCACGGAGCTGGAGAGTGTTGATTGTTGAATGCCCTGCCATCCTAGGCTCAGTTGCTGCTCCCTTCCCAATAGGACCCTCAGTCCTTCATTCCTGTGGTTGAGGGAGGAGGTCAGTTACTGGAGGAGAATCACAACCTTCTGCATCATCAAGACAGGCAGGACAATGGGGCCTGCTCCGTGTAAGGAGATGGCCCTGGGGACTCAGCCAGCTCCTTGGCAGAAAGAGCATTGATTCCAAGCCCCCTCAAGAGTTTTCCTTTAGCCAGGTGTGGTGGCTGATGCCTGTAATCCCAGCACTTTGGGAGGCTGAGGTGGGAGGATCACCTGAGGTCAGGAGTTTGAGACCAGCCTGGCCAACAAGATGAAACCCCGTCTCTACTAAAAATACAAAAATTAGCTGGGCTTGGTGGTATGCACCTGTAATCCCAGCTACTCGGGATGCTGAGGCAGGAGAATCATTTGAACCTGGGAGGCGGAGGCTGCAGTGAGCTGAGATTGTACCACTGCACTCCAGCCTGGGCAACAGTGAGACTCCATCTCAAAAAAAATAATGTTTTCCTTCTCCTGGGAAGCCTCCTTTTACAGATCTCAATAGCTAGACAGCAGCAGGTTGAACTCCTGGAGTGCCCACCCGGCTCTTCTCTGACAAGCCTGGTGCATGGATTGTCACGGTCATCCACACCAAGACCTCTCCTGCCTCTTGCATTCGCTCCTCAGGCCTGGGGACCAAGACCTCTGCCTGTCTCTACTGACACATCTCTACACACGTGTGTATACCTGGATATAGATGTATGCTGCATGTGTATACCTATTTGTATATGCACAGGCTCACAGACATTCCTGCATGTGCTAGAGCACATAAACCCAGATAAATATGACTTAAATGGGTTGATTCATACACATGTACACTCATACCTGTATGTGTTAACAGATAGTTACAGATTCCCAGAGCCAACTGTCAGTACACATAGCTGAGTGCAGATATCCATATCTGTGTGCCCCACCAGGCATACACATGTTCATGCCAGTTGGCCCATGCACAGCTGAGGGGACCTGTGCTTCCTTCCCCTACATGCCCACACACGCATGCAATCCTATACAAACCCACTTACCTGACCTCTGGGCTGAGGTCTGGCTTGAGTCCATAGAAGGTGGCAGAGAGTGTGATCAGCCAGCCAGGTCGGAGCCGTCCTTCCTGGCATTCCAGGAAAGGAGGAGACAGCCTCACCTGCTGCGTGTCCCCCACATAGCCATCTGCCTGCGGCCACTTGGGGCTGCCAAGGCTCCCTAGGTCATTGGTCAACACCCGCTTCTTCAGGGCCGGGGTGTCCAGGTCCCCAGGTGGGCTCTCCTCCTGCACCCAGTTCCTAGACAAGTCCTGAAGGATGGTTTCCTCTCCAGTCCGGGTGGCCTGCAGGGCCAGCTGTAGGTGGCTGGCCCCTGGTGGAGAGTTAAAGGTCAGCAAAGCCCTGTATGCTCTTGGGTCCCCCTCAGCCACGCTGCGGACCAGTGCCTGGTACCACTCCACATCCTCCTCCACACTGGACTCACGGATGTCGTTGGCTTGCAGCAGCATGTTGAGAAAATTGGCGGCCTGGGCAAGGGTGCCCGCTGCTCCCTGTAGGGTTGGGGGGAGCTCTGGCATGGCTCCTGCCCCACGCGCTTCATAGCCCTCACTGCAATTCGCCTGCGACAGCTGCTGGGCATCTCCAGAGTAAAGATAAGCGAGGGCGGCCTCAGCCCCCTCTGGGGGCACCTGCATGGGCACAGATCCTGGCTCAACTTGGGAAGACAGAGGGGGCAGAGAGCGGAGGGGCCGTAGACCCCCCAGAGCCCAGCCACAGACGAAATAGCAGCCTAGCAGCCCCCACACAGGAGGGGGCATGACTGCTCCCCTGGTGCCCATCCTTGGGGCAGCTCTCAAGACCCTGGGGTCCAGGCTCAGCAGAGCCCAGGCAGAGGCTGCAGGCTGGGGGCTGTCTGCCTCCACGCCTCGTATCCTGGTGTCTCTCTTTCTGGCTCCCTTTCCCTCTCCTGCTGGTGCCTGGTGCCGGCTCGTCTGCTTTATTCTTCTCTCTAACGTCAGCAGCTGGCTTCTGGACGTAGGTATGAGGGCCCTGCCCCCTCCTCTCTCAGTGTGGCCCCCTATCTCAAACCTCTTAATCCCGGCACCCCACTCTTTCCTCCCCTCCTGTCCAGTATCCAGGCTCCCTCCATCCCCCACCCACATCTGCTCCAGAGAGAGATGGAGGGAAGGGCAGAGGAAGGCACCAGTTGTGCTCTCTCTCCCTCTCTCCCTCCCTCTGTCTGCCCTTTGCTCCATTAGGAGAGATGGGCAAATCCAGGATGGGGCGCCATAGCAACCGCGGATGAGCTTGTGCCCCTCTCTCCACCCCTCTGCTCCACTCAGGCTCCTGGCAGCAAAGGGCCAAGCTGCATCTCCTGGCAGTCTGCTCCGGCTGCCTGCGCCCCCTGACCCCATGCTGCTGAGCTGGGATTTGAGAATGGGGATGGCGAGGGTGGGAAAGACAGCCTGATAGTATCATAATCAGTCTTTGTACACACTGAGGCAGTTTATAAAGTGCTTTTCATGTGCCTTATCTGAATGAATCTTCCCCACAGCCATGTACATTGAATGTTCTTATCCCCATTTCACAGATGCAGACACTGAGACTCACCCAAGATCACACCGGAGACTCACACCAGAGCTCTGACTTCCCTACACCGCCCACCCCAACCACCACCATCACCGTCACTCAGCCTCAGGGACTATAAAACAGCCTCCTTGCAGAGGGTGAAGGGACTTCCCTAGAACCACAGTGTTTGTGACAGAGCCAGAGCTTCCACCCAGGTGTCTGTCCCCCCAACCCAGGCCTCTTTCTGCGCCATAAAATTGACAAACACAGTGGCAATGGTGGCAGGGCAGGGTGCGGGAAGAGAGGTGGGCAAAGAGAAGACTGTGAACACAGCTTTGCCTCCACTCCTTCCACCCCTTCCACCTTCATTTTGTCATCCTAAGTGTTCTATCTTCTTCTTCTTTTTTTTTTTTTTTTTTAAGATAGAATCTCTCTTTGTCCGCCCAGGCTGGAGTGCAGTGGCACGATCTCAGCTTACTGCAACCTCTGCCTCCTGGGTTCAAGTGATACTCCTGCCTCAGTTTGGGACTGAGACTGGGACTACAGGTGCCTGTCACCATGCCTGTTTCTCTTATTTTGAATTTTTTAGTAGAGATAAGGTCTCACCATTTTGGCCAGGCTGGTCTCGAACTCCTGACAGGTGATCTGCCTCAGCCTCCCAAAGTGCTAGGATTACAGGCATGAGCCACCGCACCTAGCCCCTTCTTTTGTTCTTCATGAAAACTGTGGCTACTCTTTCTTGCTCTTTCCCATTTTCTTACCCCTCACCTCCTTCCTGCTCCTGGGGGACCCAGAGTCAGTCAGTGCTGTCTGAGCCAGCCTCCTTGGATCTGGAAGGGCATGGATTCTTGGGGAAGCCACAGAACAATGCTCCTGCCTGCCTACCCATCACTTTCCATCAATGATGGGCTTCCTGCTTCCCCAGGCAATCTGGCCCCGCAGGTGCATGCTGTCTTTTGGTTTCCTCCCTTCGAACCCCCTCCAAACTCCCAATGTCTTGAACCTTTGATGTCCAAGATCATTGAGTGTTATGTAGGAAGGCATGGGTGGTGGTTGCTAAAAAAGTTCCTTGCTTTCCAGTTGACCTCTGCAAATAACAATTCTTTTTTCTCTCTCTTTTTTTTTTTTTTTTTTTTTTTGGGACGGAGTTTCGCTCTTGTTACCCAGGCTGGAGTGCAATGGCGCGATCTCGGCTCACCGCAACCTCCGCCTTCTGGGTTCAGGCAATTCTCCTGCCTCAGCCTCCTGAGTCGCTGGGATTACAGGCACGCGCCACCATGCCCAGCTAATTTTTTTTTTGTATTTTTTTTTAGTAGAGACAGGGTTTCACCATGTTGACCAGGATGGTCTCGATCTCTTGACCTCATGATCCACCCCCCTCGGCCTCCCAAAGTGCTGGGATTACAGGCTTGAGCCACCGCGCCCGGCTTCTCTTTTTTTTTTTTTTTTAGACAGAGTCTTGCTCTGTTGCCCAGGCTGGAGTGCAGTGGCACAATCTCAGCTCACTGCAACCTCTGCTTCCTGGGTTCAAGTGATTCTCCTGCCTCAGCCTCTCAGGTAGCTGGGAGTACAGGCATACGCCACCATGCCCGGCTAATTTTATATTTTTGGTAGAGATGATGTTTCACCGTGTTGGCTAGGCTGGTTTTGAACTCCTGACCTCAGGTGATCCACCCACCTTGGCCTCCTGAAGTGCTGGGATTACAGGTGTGAGCCACCATGCCTGCCCCCACCTTTTAAAAAACAAATTAGAAAACTAAAATGCCAAAAGGAAAGTGACACTCAGGAGGCCACCCAGCCAGTTAATGGTACTGCTGGGAGCAGAAATCTGTATTGCACATCCATAGCTCTTTCCTTGGCCTTTCTGTGAGTGACTTATTCCATTTCTTGGTATTTATTACTGGTTACTGTTAGTTGAGGGTCAATAAAACATACTGGGTGAAGACAGTAGTAACTTACCATGAAAAGCTTCTTGGGAAAAAATGTATTAAGCTATTATCATGAAAACCTTCTTGGGAAAAAAATGTATTAATTAACATTTGTATAGCACTGTAGAATAGATCATGTATATTTACATATACATTTTTTTTTTTTTAGATGGAGTTTCACTTTTGTTGCCCTGGCTGGGGTGCAATGGCACAATCTCAGCTCACTGCAACCTCTGCCTCCCAGTTTCGAGCGATTCTTCTGCCTCAGCCTTCCGAGTAGCTGGGATTACAGGCATGTACCACCACGCCCGGCTAATTTTGTATTTTTAGTAGAGATGGGGTTTCTCCATGTTGGTCAGGCTGGTCTCAAACTCCTGACCTCAGGTGATCTGCCTGCCTCGGCCTCCCAAAGTGCTGGGATTACAGGCGTGAGCCACCAGCCCGGCCTACATGTAAGTTTTCATTTAATTCCCCGGAACAGCCATGTCAAGGGGGGATTATTAGTGACCCATTTTTAAAAATGAAGCACAGGTTCAGAGATGTTTAATTATTTGCATTTGTTCATATATTCAGAAAGTGGCGTGATTAAGACTAACTAGACCAACCACAAAGTCCAGAGGGGCAGGGATTGTGTCTGTCTCTATCACTGCATCCCCAAACCTAGCCCATTGTTGAATGACTAAATTAGCCCGAGAATTTCTTTAGATTCTAATACATATATTTGGTAGAGATGGGGTTTTGCCTTGTTGCCCAGGCTGGTCTCAAACTCCTGGGCTCAAGTGATCCATCCGCTTCAACCTCCCAAAGTGTTGGGATTACAGGCATGAGCCACTGTGCCCAGCTTATTTTCTATTTTAACTTTTTGAGACAGGGTCTCACTCTTATCACCCAGGCAGGGGTGCAGTGGCATGAACACAGCTCACGCCACCTCCACTTCCTGGGCTCAAGTGATTCTCCTGCCTCAGCCTCCCAAGTAGCTAGGATTACAGGTGCACACCACCATGCCCACCTAATTGTTTAATTTTTTGTAGAGATGAGGTATCACAACATCCTCACAACGTTGGGTCTCTTTGTTGCCCAACCTGGTCACAAACTCCCAGGGTCAAGTGATCTGCCTACCTTGGCCTCCCAAAGTGCTGAGATTACAGGCTTGAGCCACCATACTCGGCCAAGGACCACTTTCATAGTGCTCAGTGAAAGAGGTATATTTATACATAAAATCAGCTCAATAAACAAAAATTCAGCAGGGCACAGTGGCTCATGCCTGTAATCCCAGCACTTTGGAAGGCCGAGGCAAGTGGATCACAAGGTCAGGAGTTTGAGAACAGCATGGCCAACATGGTGAAACCTCGTCTCTACTAAAAACACAAAAATTAGCTGGGCCTTGTGACAGCCTGAAATCCCAGCTACTCAGGAGGCTGAGGCAAGAGAATCGCTTGAAACCAGGAGGCAGAGTGAGCCAAGATCACATCATTGCACTCCAGCCTCGGTGACAAGAATGAAACTCCATCTCCAAACAAACAAACCCAACACAAATTCAAGTCATACAAATGCAAAGATACACCTTCTTTGCTTGGAATTTAACTTTCAGTGTTTTTTCCAGGATCTGGGCTACAGCCCTGGACAATTACAGAAATGGGAAAAGTCTGCTCCATGGCTTGCCCTGCCTTAGAGCTCCTGTGTGTTCCCCGGTACCTCTGTGCACTCTGTGCAAGTAGAGATACTCCAGGTACTGACATAGTCTGCCTCTCCTGGAGCCAGGAAAGAAGCTGGACAGCAGAGGGCGTCGAAGAGCCACGAACCTTGCCTCCACTCAGTTTATAATGGGCGCCGAGGCCAGAGAATTTCTGAGAGAAAGCTAGGGATCTTGGGTAGTCTTTTCAGGCCTCAGGTGCTGTCATTCTATAGCAATTTCTCTTCTATCATTCATTCTTCATTCATTCATTCATTCATTTATAGGGTCTTGCTCTGTCACCTAGGCTGGAGTGCAGTAGTGTGATCACGGCTCACTGCAGTCTCCACCTTCCGGGCTTAAGCAATCCTCCTGCCTCAGCCTCCTGAGCAGCTGGGACCACCACTGGGCGCATCACCATGCCCAGCTAATTTTAAAATTTTTTGTAGAGACAGGATGTTGCTGTGTTGCCCAGGCTGGCCTTAAACTCCTGGCCTTAAGTGATCCAAGACCTGCCCGCTCAATCACTCTTCTTTTCTTCAGAAACCTGAGTGACACCTGAGAGGCAGCCAGGGGAAGAGACTGAACTATCTGAAGTCAGAGCTAGTTTTGAATTTCACTGCATCCTTTTGAACTGAGTGACTTTAGCTAAACAGCTCACTGGGCTTCAGTTTGTCTCTCTACGTATGAGGAAAGATAATGAATTCTGTTGTGCAGAATTTGTCTCAGGAGCCTCTTACAGGGATTAAGGTTGAACAACAATTCCAGGGACTGTCCTTGGCACTGGAGTGTCCACAAGGGGCAAAAAGCGAACACAGCTTCCGGCCTCATAGAATTTATAGTTAGGTAGGGAAGACAGTTTTTTTTTTTTTTTTGAGACAGAGTTTCACTCATGTTACCCAGG